AAGAAACAGGAGAAAAAATGTTTTGCACCCACTTTTTGCTGGTTATTTGTTGTCATGTGTGTTTATGTCTCTAAAAAATAAGAAATTTCCGCATTATCCTTAATCAAATAAATCAAAATGATAAGTTTAGCTACCCATTTGCAAGCAGGTTTTTGTTTGACTGATATGTCCTCAGCGCGCCCAACTGATGCGGCAATATAAGTACGTGATCATTTCATGATTATGAATAAGAGATGTGTTTGTCCACTAATAAATCAACATATCAAACGAATTAAGGAAATTGACCTGATCAAAACATCTTAAAATTCGGGTGTAAACACAAAATTCCGTTTACATACTACCAAGTAGCGTTAGAGATATTGAGGTATGAGGTCAAATTAAATATGAAAAAACATTTAGAATATAATTTTAATTGAATTTTTTTCGTTTTGGGTCCAGTTAACCGCTTAAAAAATTAGATTTGTCAAATCTTTCATCTGATATAATAATATAACTGTGTGATCTAAGCTTTATTCTGAATAACTGCCGTATGACCCATTTTCGCCTCAAAGTACTGAAGGACCCCGACTTTTATAACTTGAAAAGAACTTAAATTATCGAGCTCTAACACAAAAAGTCGACTTGAAATTTGTCATGTCGACCAGTACTTAGTCGGTTGTAGAGACTCTCACTCGCTCACATGATTTTACCCTATATTGATTTTAATTTGAAGCCGTGCGTGTGGTAAACAAAAAATAGCATATAGTGAGACCGAAAGACAACCTCTACTACTTGCTGCTTAAAATTGCGATTGGCCCTGGACCAACTGCAGCGATATCTCCACTTAAATCACAATTTTGCGTTGTCCGGATAAGGGAAAAGCGCTGTTCAAAGAGGCGCATAGAGCACGATGGGGTGGACCAACTTAAATAATAATTTCGCGTTGTTAGCGTGAGACGGGGGCTTATTTTACTGATGGATTTTACAAGCGTCGTTCGATCTTTCCTGGCTGGAGTTTTATAATTTCGTATTGTCCATATTGATTGTTATCTTGTTGACTTATCAGAAATTAGTTCAGCGCAAGCAGGCAAGGAAAACGGTTCATTTATATTAACAAAAAACAGCAAAATAGACGAAAAACATTGGACAAACTATTTATAAATAATCACATCTAAACAATTTATAATATATTTACTTGTATGACAAGATCTGTCTATAATAAATGATCTAGCGAAAAATCAACACTGTGAGCGTAATGTGTGAAGTAACTCGTAACTCGTGATAATATAAAATTCATAATAAAAAATACAAGTTTTGTGTCATAATGTCAAGTTTGAGGTCGGCATTTCGAGTTAGAAGTCAAAATTTCCCTCAAGGAAACAGAATGTGACAATGGGACCATTCTACCTCCCTATAAAGGCATGAGCAGCCGCTAAATAGTATTCGTATTTCATTGCACTAAAAGCCAAAAAAATAGTAATTAATCTGATAACAGCAGAGAAGACCCGTTAACTTCTTTGTTCATGAAGAACTTCCTCATTCGTTAAGTGTATGTATGTTCATTCAAAGCTGCTTTATAAGAAATATACAGGTTGATGGGTCTCAGCAATACTTCATTGTCTCTGACATACACTGACGATCCAAAACACTTGGAGTAATGCGGTAACTTTTAGCAATTAAAGTATTTTAAAGAACTTATGAAACATGTACCACCTTTCTGGATTTGCTATTTCTTTCTGTTCATTATCTACTTAAAAAGTCCTCAACATATCGTCAGCTAGATTCGAAATTATTCTTTAAAAACCACATGTCCCTGGCACACATTTCAGCGCCAATTTCATTCACAGAAATATGCAATTGTTTCCCTTAAATCTTGTTTTGATAGGTTTCACACATCTCTCTTATGCATATGAAGATCAAAAAGCCAGCTGACATGAAGTAATAACGAATGCCCATTCATAAGTCACAGCTTATCACTATTTCATCGAAAAATGATCTAGTCATAGAACTTTCTATTCCATCAATTATGTAAGTAATGATTATCTAAAATTATATGCAATACGCTGATTCAGTGTAGGCAGTTTACCGGAGGCGTAACACGAAAACCTGCACTTGAAAATGTCGTAATTGTAGCTGACTGGTGCATCGAACCATCTTGTAGACCGCAGAACCCGCAGAGATGACTTCTTGCATCAACGAGCTCACACAAGAAGAACTTGGCTTTCAATTGTTAAAAAATACATAAAATACAGTTGAGCAATGACTGAGAAAGAGACTACGAGCAATTTGAATTAAATAGATATAAATAGAAACAATTATGGCACCATTCGGAGGCAAGTAAACATTCCTATAGCAAAACGCAAAGTTTGAGCAAATAAATTCCATTTTGCCGAATTTCAGTGAAAAATTAAAGCGGCAGTGACGTATTCAGATAGGTATTTCGCGTTTAGATGTGAAATCAAGCAAATGTCGAATATGAAACTTATTTGAGACACAACTAACTGAATAACTAACATTTCGCAGAGAATGAACTGTCTTTCTTTCTAAAGCGATGAATATTCCTGTATATACAGGGTGTCCGGAAATAGTGCGACCAACACATCACGAGGTAGTTCTAGAGCAAAAATCAGTGGAGCAAGTTCCTATAGCACTTTTCCGAAAACTCAATAATAACTGATCAACAGAGCGTTAAGTTACAGTTTTTTGTTGGGTAAATGATTGTTTTAAAACTTGGCACACTTAGTACTTATGAGGATTTGTATTATTATTGAACAGTTGACATTTATCCGTTAATGCTAAGGGGTTTAACTCCCTCATGTCATCTACTATTTTATTTTTCGCTTTTCTTTTTGTGTTGTGTGTTATGTATGGTTACAAAAATAAAAGATTGCTTAAAATTGGGTAAAAAAGGCTCACTTGCCACGTCTTTCCAAAATGGAACGTACTCGAGAAAATCTTTAATATATCTTAAAATATTTAATAAGCTAATGAGTATTAAACATTTATTAAATTATGAAAAATTAATTGTTATAAATTAATTATCAATTTATTAAACTTCAACGCCCTGTAGATCAGTCATTATTGAGTTTTCGAAAAAGTGTTATAGGAACTTGTCCCACTACTTTTTGCTCTAGAAATACGCCCAGAAAATTTTGATTTGTAAAAATGATTTTACATTAAAATTTAACACGCACAAATTCTGTGATTTGGCCCTTGAATTTCTTGGAATAGAAAACCTAAACATTCTAAAATTTGTAAGTGTATTAATCGCACTGAAAACACACATAAATTAATTAACAGTGTTAAATATATGCTGATTTCACATGCAATATTAGTTTGCATGCGAAAATTTGTTTGTCTATACGAAGAGATACCAAAGTGGCACTCTTGCTTAATTTAAGATGCTGTTTTTTACAAAATGTAAATAAATAATATTGTCATATACCTAATTTAGAATTCTACTTTGACACCTTTAAGTCGTAGACTTAGGCCCAGACAAATAATGTAAAAAAATATGCATAAATCTCTGATTCTCGATACCAGTCTGGAAAAACATCTTCCGCTGATCACAAATTACTCAATTTCATTGAATCTCATTTTCAAACTACCGAGCCAGCAAAATAAATAATAATTGCCCGAGGGAAAAAAGAGAGGTTTAACTGAGTAAAGAGTTTCAAATTTAATGATGATCGGCTGTGGTAACAAAACCCGACTACAAGCTAGAGTTTGCGAATTATGCGATAATAAATACTCAGAGAGGCGCATAAAACAATCAGCAATTAGTGAAACAGTGAAAAGTTTTGTAATTTTGGTTATGTGAGATGTAGTTAATTTCGAGGAAAACTTCATAGAGCTGCAGAAAATACACAATTACATGAAAACGATCTAGGGATGCAGCTGGAGACGTGATATATGTATTCTGAAATGCATGGTAACACGGAAATGCCACTTACACAAAGTATACCTTTACATCCAGTAGAGTTTAGATAAAGAGTCATAAACAGATTAATGCTATTTTGAAATTTTCATGTTGATTATTTATTATCAATATTTATTTATTTTATCAATAGGTATTATTTTAGTTTATATTATTTCAGAATATGTTTTGCAATAAAAAATTTTCCATGGTTTGAATACAAAGGAAACCTGGACAAGTATTATGGGTTTAATAATAAATAGTGATATTTTTCAGGCTTTCAAAATGAATAATTTTGCTCAGAGAAAATTGGACTATAAATTAAGACATTTGGTCAACTGTGCCGCTGCCTGCAGCCGCAAATTGTAAAAAAATGTTAATGGCGTTTATTTTAATATTATTGTGCATCTGCAGCTAATATTAAGCCACAGTCGAGTCCTTTGCTTCTAACTTAAATATGCATTGTCCAATTTTTTGTTTTTCTTTCATTTCTTCGTTCGACTTTCAAAGTCATTCAAGTTCATTGCATCTAATAAAAACAGATTTTTCTCGCAGCTGACTTTTTTAACACATACAGGGTTATCAGTGACGGTTTGCCTGGTGTATTATTCCATGCAGATCTTCGGTGGGCGGAAGAATCTTTTCACTCAATTACAAGGAGTTTAACTGTAAATATTCTGCAATTTGAAGACATAAAAATTGTCTGGGTGTCTAGATAATGTTTCAAATAAATGTATGTGCTTCTATGTGCTGTATGTGCTTCTATATTAAATTTTCAAAAAAACAATAAACATTAATATCTCTCTACCTTCCTACATCCTCAATCTCATCTTGTTCAATTCCTCTGTCCGTCTGTTGAACATTTTTATATTTTCTAAGATGTTCTGATTGTTTCGCTCAAAATTTAAAGATGTGAGTGAGTAGAGCATAATTATCTGGTCTAAGACGTTAAGGAAATAGATTGCCAAATTATTGATTTCAAGCCTTAAATGCTATCGACATCAGAAGCTGTTCTTATACAATTTGCATCATGATTAAAAAATGGAAACTATTATATTGTATTCGGATTCTAGACCATCTACCTCTACGGAATCACATTGCATCGGTTTAGTTCGTTCAACTTGATATAAAAACCGAGGCCATTCTTGAAAAATGGTGGTCAAGGCCGCTGTTCGTCTAATAAAAGCCAACAGACGCCTTCGTACCACAAAAATACGCGAAGAACAGCCAAGACCATTCGATTTTCGATCATGGTTTGATAAAGAAATGGATCTGGTGCAGCCAGGTAAATATCTATTATAAACTCATGTTTTTGCTGCTGCAGCAACTTTCGCTTTGAAGATAGTCCAAAGAAATTGTGACAGGGCATGAAAAAACTTTCAAAGTTCTTGTACGAAAACAGTATAATGTTTGTGAAAAATGTGGATTATTTAAAACTAAACATAATGAATTATGCCATAATAAATAGATATGTATAATATACTTGTTTGACTGCAATGGCAGAGACTACAGAAAGAAATAATTAATCAGCATTTTCCGAAAATGTAATTTGGTAGCACCGTTTGTGTGCAGTCCAATCGCCAAGAAAAAGCCAAACTTTAGAATACAGCTGGACGTACCAAAATTTTACAAGTTACAGTAAACAAGCGCAACCAAGGAAGAAGTGGCAATCTGATGGGTCTTCAATATTTCATTCCTGCTTTTAAGCCACTGGAAATTTTCGAAACTTGGTTCATAGTAACGAGGAAGAGTCTAGATATTGTGGCCTCTTTGAACCGTGATTGTCATCGCAAAACATTTGGCTCGCAGTTGTCCATTTTGAATCTTTGCAATGTTTGTATTTCCTCAAAGATTGCTTAAGAGTAAAATTACAGTGTGAGCATATGTATGAAGTAGTTTATTTTTGGATTATCATTCAGGAAGTTAAGTCGTTTTCAAATATTGCACTACAATGTTTATTTTTAATTAACAGTACAAGGACCACATTTTCAACAACTTTTTGCCGTCTGGATCCCAAATTTTCGATGCAAAATCGATGAAAACCGATTGGGCCTTTTGGCTGTCGTTGAAATTTCCAGCAATGCAGTTACTTTCCGGTCCCCCTAACGGAAACTAACGCTCTATATTATTTAATCGATTGACTGTGTATAAATTATATATTTATACTTTTATGAATGTATACTTGAAATAAACTGAAATTTCGACAGGATATTTATAAAATTCTCTCAGCCCACACGTGGCAACTGCTGAAGCTGACTGTTTAGCTTTCAACGATACGAGCCAGGAAATATTATCCATTTTCCAGCCATTTTAAGCTAGAGAATGGCGTGCATGGAAATGTGATCTTAAGGCCTGCAAATGAAACCAGAAACTTGTTCTCTTGTCGATACCCCGAGTAAAAATTCCACTTCCTAGGTGGTATATAAAATGCAAAGTCCTTCCATTCTTGGCTCTCCTAATGGCCTGTTTTCTCACGTTTGAGCTTAATAGAGCTTCAAAGGGCATTGCACGGTTTTTACGGGCTGACTTTACAAAGGGGATTTAGTTTGTTGCATTTACAAAGCACCATTATTTTGCGTGATGAATATATTGTATTATTTCATAAAATTATCATATAATGTGCATATCCGATCGATCCACCCCGAGCATTCGGTTTAATTAGTCGAATGTCCAAAAACTGTCCAATGCGCGAAACGAGCGATTTACTCCTAGAATGTAAATGACTTACAGATATTTAAATATTTCAGATTTAACTGAACCTGCCATATTAAATAATTACTGACTCAGTTGTTTCGTCTGGACCAGACTTTGTCGAATGGCGCAATGGAATTTTTAAAGGCCATAAACTCCGCTGTAACCGATTGTAGAATCTGTCCTGGAATGTATATGTGGGAAATGTTACTTTTTATTTGTGGTGTTTTAGTCATAGCAGGAATTAAATTACTTTCAACAACAGTTTGCTTCAGTAACGCGATTCTTTCATTTCCATCACAAAAGATCAGCATAACAATGACTTAAAAATAATTCAAGCTTGAAGTTTAATTGAAAATGAGAAAATGCTACTTGCAGATTTTCTAATTAGTAAACGATTTAAATGTAAATATTACATTTTGTAGAAAACAAAATCTGATGTTGAGTTCGCTTTATTACCAAAAAAAACTTTTATTTGAGGTTAAACTTTGTAGTTTTGCAAAAACAATCCGACAGCGTCTTATTCCCATAAAAACGAAACCACTGTACATCTAACATTCGAAATTATTTCATTCTTATATGCGCCGAAAAGAGCAACTCAACTATAAATTAACTGCTAGTTAGAGTGCGATGAATTTTACCACAAAGTTTTGTTGAGCATATGAGTTAAACGTAAATTTAATTCGCAACTTTCAACAGTTGTTTCAGGCAACATTAGCAAAACGTTCGTGTAAAGTAGAAACAGTGCTTGGCGAAAATTTACATCGCAACTTTACCTCTACCAGTCTGAATTCAATCTAAAATAATACCATAAACTTAGAAAATCAAAATCTACAGATTTTAATACATATAAATTATTTTTAAATGCAACTGCACCGCCACTTTTTTGCGAAACATAGTAATTTAATTTATAATGTAATTTAGCCGGAAACAAAAAGTTTTAACCTTCCACAAACTTGATTGTCTGCTAAACTGGAAAGCCAAACACATGACAAATTCCAGACAGCAAAAATAGTCCTGAAAACGTTAACTTTCAAAGTTGTAATATAGAAAAAGGTTGCTCGAGGCGCTCATAAAAACAGTTAAGTGAGAAATTCGGAGGTTTTCTTGACTCTTTATTGTCTTTTCCAGACTGTATCCCTGTTTCCCCATTATCACCCTCAGGGTAGAGAAAGTTTTTTTTTTCTGTACAGCAATTTGGGTGGAAATTTATTGTATCCTATAAAATGGAAACGGAAATTGCCTGCTGCCAGCTCCACCTTTATAACTGATTTTAACTCTTTTGGATTTGCAATTGAGTGATATTTTAGGTCCGATGTTGTTGAAATGTGTTAATGCCCACACCTCGAATCGCAACCTTTTCAATTTTCTCTTTTTACCATTGCCAAGTCAATAACTGTTTTGCACAGTTTCATGTTGAATAGAATGATAATTCTAAACCAGTCATTTGTATCACAAACTTTTTGTCGACATTGTTTAATTTGATTCCGCACTGTGTGTACAGTTATTTTTTAAGCATCAGCAGGGTAAATAAACTATCACGATTTACTTCCTTTTTCAAATAGTCCGTATTTAATTACAGTACGGAATTTTTTCACGTTTCGTTGCCTGTGGGTGCACATCAATGGCGCTCCAAGTTCATTATCACCGTAACCACTGCATTACATAAACGCGCTTTGGACGGTTTTTATCTAGAAAAAGCCCAAGGGATTTGCTTGCATTTCAAGGGATTAAATTTGCTTTAAATGGGCTTCGTAGTTATATCCCATGAGGTTAACATTTTCCAAATAGTACAATTAGAAAAATGAAATATGTCACGATTGCCGAGTTCGAAATAGCACGACCGTCACTTCATATGCACTCACAAATTGCACACAACTCTAAATAGTACAATAATTACTGCTCTCAAAATTCTCACTTAGACCGTTTTCGTGTCGATTTTGTTCACGGTTGTTTTATATTCAAACCGAATTTGCTATCGGGAATCAAGGGTTCTGCATATAAAGGGGTCCCAAAAGGATCCCCGTAATTCCTACACTTGCTAAAACAGATGCATTATTTCAAAGCAACTCAAGTGCTTGTTAGTTTATAAGACCGAATGACGAGGCTTCATAATTTGGTTACCAACATTTAACTGAAAACTGAGCAGTTGCAGGGTTAGGTAATTTTTTGTGTTCATTACTTCAGCTACATATTCACATGTTTGCACTTTTACAGGTGTTTAAAATGTTTTACATCTAGTTGTAGAATAGAATTAAAATTATTTCTTGACTCAGTTCCTACAAATCTGTAATGCTTATATAGCTTAAACATCCTAATATATTTTCAGACGTAGTATGAGTCGACATTCTGCAGATTATCAGACATTTAACGCCCTGCTACTCCCACATGGAACCCAATATCAACTTCCCTAAACTGCAATCATATTTCACAACAAATTTCCAAGAAATTCGCGTTTAATTTGCAACCCTTGTAAAATGTGGGCAAAAACCAGGAACCGAGAAATTAGCTGGAACATATTTCCACTCGTAATTAAACTTTATCGAACTCAAAATTAATATTTTCCTAAGATCCCACCTTCGGAATTTAACGATTAATTAAGATTTCTGCGATAGACAGCAGGCAAACCTCAAACAATATTTTTCGATTTCAGCTTAATTGAACAATAAAAAATCGACAAATAATGGTTCTGCGGCAAATAGCGCTAGATAATTGAACAGCGCTATGGCCAATCTAGAAAAAATATTTTTCAGCCATTTCAGGCATTTAGCAATTTTTGCTTGAACATGAGGTATTTTCAGACATTACTTGGACCAATCGTATATTGTGTCTTCATTTTCGCAGTTGAAATGTAGTTTTTATCACTTATGTTGTGACCTATTTAAAATATAAGACTAAAACTATCACAAAACATGCAGTAAATTGAAGATATATAGCTGAGTTTCTAAACTTTAGGCACCGCATAGGGAAATGTATGCTTTATGAAGTATATAGAATATAGAACAGATATATGAATATATTTTTCATCACAAATTTTTTTGAACAATAAAATGGAATATCCTAAAAATACCGCTGGATAACTGCAAGGAATATTTTAAAAATAAATACTTTCGTTACGATATATTTTTGGATATGAAAATGGACCTTCGACTAACAGGAAATAACGGAACTGAGAGAAGTGCTAATAGTCGTAAATATGACAGGACTTTATTGGATCGTATATCTCGAGTATCTAAATTATGTAAGTGGCGCTTCCTTGAACAATGGATCTGGTAAACGTTTCCTCGAAACCTACATATATAGCAGTCACGTTTCACGTGGAAAGATATAAATAATATTACAATTTTTTTCCAGTTTATTTTTAGTAATTTTTCTGTTTTTCATGTTAAATAGTTTGGTGTTGAGATTTATATTTGTTAATTTATTATACAAATTGTAATAAATTTCTAAGAAAACCAAGCGTTCAAATACATTTTGAAGCAGTTCGAATAATAGAAAATTGTAATGCCTATGTTCATCAAATAATTGGAACATTATTAATTTCCTATCACTACATAAAATAGCTTAAATATCAGTTATCTGTCAAGTCGTTTGCTCCTAAGTAATCAGATACATTGTCATTAAAAACAGCACGTTAACAACCAAAAATTTCAGCTGTTTTCTTTTTCATCTGCAATCAATGCAACTGAAAATTTAAATTAATTAACTGGAATATTGACTCCACAAAGCCGTTGATTGAAAAACGAACTCAGTCCGAACGTATATAAAAAGAACATAAATTACTACTTTGTGTAATAAATGCTGTTCAATGAAACATTTTTTAGCAGGAAGTAGCATTTACCGCAACCATATTATATCGCATCCTGGCAATCTTCAAATTTACCTAAAAAATTATTATGCGCCGTTTTTGTATTGTGCGATTATCAATTGCTTCCAATATTAAAATATTAAAATAATAAAATGAAAATCACTGAACCTTAGAGTATATTGAGAGTGTCATTACAGCCACTCATTTGACGCTTTAAAGAATTTTCTTTTATTGAAGAAGACAAAAACAACAGATCTTACTTTGAATTGCTAACTTAGTAACATTACAGTAGTGCGCTGGTTCGATTAAGTCAATAAATGCTAAACTGTCTTTACAGTTTCAGTACAAGAGTCCTCATTAACTAATAGCCACTGATCTCTCTCCATGTTGAAAGACTGACATGGATGATTATCAGTAACTAGTTTTAGTGTAGAAACTGCCATACGTAGTGCAGTAGCAAACACTTGTTTATTAAATGAATTGGAAAACTAACCGTAACTAAAACGTTAGTCACATTCATCATGTTTAGACTGATAAGTCGCATCTTTCCATTCATCTCGTGATAAGAAATTAGAAAAATTATCGTAGCTGAAAGCAATTAGCGACTCCTCGTCTTAGTTAAATTTGTGCCACACTCCCGAAGTAATTTAAATCATACCTAAATTTATGATAATCACAAAATGTATTATTGACGGGGGGTTCGTAAGTTA